CTGGAGAAGGAAAGAGGCAGAGATTGAAGCTTTGAACTCAACCCATATACAAACAATGGCTGCCGTTTTTGAACCTCAAGATGGACTTTCTCTTTCACACTCCACTTCCCCCCCCCCCCCCACCTCTGAAATCTGGTAGTTTTCCAGGGCCAACTTCCCCCGAGGTGGAGGAGGCAGTGCACTGACACAGGAAGCCCAAGGGCTGCTGGAGGCTCTGTGGCTCTCCCCTGTATGAGATTCAGCTTCCTGTTTTTAAGCACTGCGTGGTTTTTAGAGCCCAAGGCCAAAAGGAACACTTTCACCCAAGCCTGCATGTGCTTCATGCACTTCCAAGTTCCGATGTACAACCTGAATATTCTAGACATCAGAGTGGGAGCAGAGAGCGAGGTGTTTCCCAAAGGCCAAAGGCCACTCAGCCAGCTCCTGGCAGCACAAGTCCAGCAGTCTCAGCAGAGCAGAGATCTCACTTGAAGAGTGTTCTTCTAGGGGCTGACCTTTTGGTTCAGCATATAAAGCTGCTGCTTGCACCAATTTTCCATATCTCACTGCAGACGCCAGTCTAGGTTGTTCCACTTGTTTTGTTTTGTTTTGTTTTAAAGATTTATTTATTTTATTGGATGGCAGATCCGATTTATGGAGAAAAGGAGACACAAAGAGAGACATATCTTCCATCTGCTGGTTCACTCCCCAAGTGGCCACCACGGCCAGAGCCAAACCAATCCAAAACCAGGAGCATCTTCCAGGTCTCCCACATGGGTGCAGGGCCCCAAGGCTTTGCACCTTTCTCGACTGCTTTCCTAGGCCATGAGCATGGGGCCAGATGGGAAGTGCAGCAGCCAGAACACCAACCAGTACCATATAAGATCTTGGCACTTGCAAGGTAAGGATTTAGCCGTTCAACCATCACATCCGCCCGCTGTTCCACTTCTGATCTAGCTCCCTACCAATACACCTGGGAAGGCAGTGCAAGGTGGCTCACGTGCTTGGGCCAGTGCTGTGTGGGATAGACTGGTTCCTGGCTAAACACAGCTGCAAGTTGTTCACTGCATGCATGAAAGAATTCAAAGGCGGGGGCACAGAGATTTACAGGAGAGAAGGATTTGTCTGGAGCAAAACAAAAGTATGAGCTCAAGCACTGTGTTGGGCAGGAATGAAAAAAATCAATGAGGCAAGTCTCTAAACGAAGACTAATCCCTGTCAAAGGAAAAACTTAAACAGGGAAAAACCAGCCCCAGAAAAGTCCAAAACGTCAATCAGAGGAGGCCTACAAGTACCCTCTGTAGACACTGGCGCAACACCCAGAGTGGAGCCTTATTGAATATTCAAAATCAGGTGAAATTTCAGCTAACACCTCATTGTGTCAGTGCCCATTTTGGGAAACAGAAGTCAACAGTCAGGTACATGAGGTGAGTGGGCACCCCTCCATGGCAATTTTTAAAAAATATTCTTGGGGGCCCAGCACGATAGCCTAGCAGCTAAGGTTCTCAACTTGAATGCGCCAGGATCCCATATAGGCACCAGTTCTAGTCCAGCTCCCTACTTGTGGCCTGGGAAAGCAGTAGAGGAAGGCCCAAAGCCTTGGTACTCTGTACCCACGTGGGAGACCTAGAGGGAGCTCCTGGCTATTGGCTTCAGATTGGCTCAGCTCTGGCCTTTGCAGGCACTTGGGGAATGAATCATCAGACGGAAGATCTTCCCCTCTGTCTCCTTTCTCTGTATATCTGGTTTTCCAATAAAGTCAAAGATGAGAGAGAGAGAAAGAGAGATATCTTCCATCGTTCACTCCCCAAATGACCACACCAGCCAGAGCTGGGAGTCCCCTCTACCCCCGACATGAGTGCAGGGTCCTAAGGACTTGAGCTGTCCTCTGCCTTCCCAGGCCACCAGCAGGGAGCTGGGTTGGAAGGAGAGCAGCTAGGCTAGGACCCAAATCAATGACCATACAGTATGCCGGCACTGCACGTGGAGGATTAGCATGTCACACCACCGTATTGGCCCCAATAACTTGATTATCATGACTTAAAGATCTCCAGGGGAACCCAGCCTGAAGTCAGCCATGTTTCATATTTCCAGCTAGCACTGCTTGTATATTCACAGCTTGTAGTTTCTGCTCCCCAGGAAAGGGACTGGAGCTTGCTAATGCGAGAGAGCTGGGTCTGCACCGCGCACAGAAAGGTAGGCCTGGCTTGAGCACTGTACGGGAATGGGAGATTCTCTCTCTCTCTCTCTCTCTCTCTCTCCTGTTCCAATAAAGAAATAAAGACAAAAAAAATTTTTTTTAGTCTCTTTCTCACCTTCCCTTCTGCTTTCCACTACAGAAGCCCAAGCCCAGGCTGAGTGCTAGGAGCCCAGCATGGGTTCTAGGACCTAATTGTTGAAAGTGTCTCATTTCAGCTCCTGCTGAGTTATAAGACCCAACAAAGGGCTCAGGAGAGGAGCCGAAGTGTCATCCTTTACTCTCCTTCCCATCACCCACACACTCTTTCTTCTGTCCTTTTTCTCTCATTTCCTTTTCGTGAGCCCTCCGATTCCATTGTAGTTTTACTTTCCTTCTTTTTCCTTCCTCCATGATGTCAATTAATATGAACACTTTTACAAGAAAGCTGCTTTGAAATCTGGCAAAAGCAAGCAATAAAGACATACCCATGAACTTGATTTCTTTAAATTCTTTGTTTCCTATTTATTTGAACGGCTAAGAGGCCGTGAGAGATGTTCTATCTATGGGCTCACTCTCCAAGTGTCTGTACCAGCTATGTCTGGGTTAGATGGAATCCAGAAGCCTGGGATTCTGTCCCGGTCTCCCATGTGCTGCCTCCTAGGGTACGCATTGCCAGGATGCTGGATTGGAAATGAAATCGAATCTGAACCCAGGGACTCTGATATGGCATGAGGAAGTTCCATGTGGCATCTTGCCAGCTGTGCCAACTGCCTGCCCCAACTTGTGTATGTTTATGATATTTGTCTTGGAAATTCCCTCAGTGATAATGAATGAATTGACTCTTTGTTTAATTCTGTGTAACAACTGGTGGAATGTTAACCAGGCCGTAAATTTTCCTTGAAGGTGATTCGTTTGACAGTAGGTAATAAATATGACTACTGGGGCTTGAGGAAAGATACTAAATAAATTCCTGTCTGACTCTTATTTTTCAGATGCTGTCACCACAATCAGTTCACTAGCCAGATGCCAAATGGAACACATCTGTTCGAACAAAGTGGCATCGTGTGTGCTTCAGTGTTCAAAGTAAGGATAGAGGCTGCCATCTGGGCTCAGGACCCAGAACCTGGCTCAACTGACTAACCCTCTACCTTTGCAATGCCAGCATCCCATTTGGGTGCCAATTCATATTCCAGCTGCTCCACTTCCCATCTGGCCTCATGCTTACGGCCTGGGAAAGCAGTAGAGAAGGGACCAAAGCCTTGAGATTCTGCACTCATGTGGAAGACCCAAAAGAAGCTCCTGGCTCCTGGCATCGGATCGACACAGCTCTGGGTGTTGAGGCCATTTAGAGCGTGACCAATCAGAGAAATCTTTCTGTCAGTATCTCACTTCTCTCTGTAAATCTGTCTTGCCAATAAAAATAAATAAATTAAAGAAAAAAAGAACTTTGGTTTTGATTACAAAATGCACCACCTGAGTGCTTACACACTTTAAGCCTCGGTTTACTTCCTTGCAAACAATGGCCTGCAGCGCATCTGTTAATTTGCACAGCAAGGCATTTTGCAGTTTCAGTGAAGAGCTTTGCAGTTGTGATTAAGGACCAAGGGTTATGAGATGGGGAGATGATCCTGGACTCTTTGGGCAGGTGTCATGCAAACCCAAGAGTTCTTACTCAGGGTAGAAGGAGGTGGTAGAGTGAGACATGGAAGTGGAAGTCAGAGGGACGCGGGGATCATAAGGCAAGGAGGCGATGCATGGTCTAGGATCTGGAAAAGGCAAATAAACTGGCTCTCTCCAAGGTCCTTCGCAGGAACTCCATCCTGCAGACTCATTGCACACTTCTTGTCTCCAGGACTCCAAAAGAGGACCTTCTGTTGCCCTCAGCCACTACAGCTCTTTTAGAAAAAAAAAAAAAATCCCCAGCTGCAGACAACTGCCTAGGTTGCCTTGTACTGTTGGGAGAAAAGCAGCCAATAGCTGACAGGCACTCTGGGTCTGATTAATGCCAAAAACATGTTAATGCCAAAAATGTGTGCCAGCATAGTTGCCTATTCTGGGGTTTTTGTTTGTTTGTTTTTGTTTTCATTTTTAAAGCTATATGGGGACGTAGGGAATGCCTGGCTGGGACACGCCCTCAACCTCCCGGCAGGGGTGCTGTAGAATGCCTGGGAAAGGGGATCTGGGGACCTATAGGACTCGGAATAGCTGAAGGCATATTTAATGGGGGAGGAATGACTTCTGGGAGGCTTCCATGAATCAAGCCAAGGCATTGTCAGATAGGCAAGAGAGCTGAGATGGGGTGGTTAACAGGGAGGCAAGAAACTGGAGGGTGTGTCTAGGCTGGGGCAAGATATCTTCTCATTGGGAGACCTGGGCTGAGTTAAGCAGCATCACCCACAGCTCACAGGTGCATACGAAAGCTGGGGCTGGGTCACATCCTGGTTAGGCTAGGCTGTCGTACCCACCTTTGAGTTGTCATCAGTCTGGCCCACAGCACCCACTGGAACACAAGACAACCAAATTTGGGGTTAGATACTGTAAGGATCTGTGAAACTGTAGCACCTGTTGGTTTGTGTGAGCACCTGTTGGTTTGTGTGAGACAGACCAAGCCAGCTTGGACTGCAGAACTCACCTGAAAGGAACTCATCCAACCCTTACTGGAGCCAGCACCCACCAGGCCATGTAAAGGCCAGGACTGAGGGCATACCATGCCAAGTAGGGCTGCAGCACTTTCCGGCAGATGAAAGATCTGAGACTGGGAATGGGCCTGGCAGGAGAACTTGGGGAAATCCTCTACTAGAGTGCCTGGTTGGGGTCCATTTCCACTTTTTTTTTTTAAGGATGAAGCTACGGCATTTATTATAGGGACACTCCCAAAGACAGTGGGAGACACACAGGCACACAGGTGGGGACGCCTACCTGCATCACCTGAGTCCAGGAGACCCCCCTTCCCCTGCAGGCTGCAGAGACCCCAGGAGCTTTCTCCCTGTGACCAGGCCCCTCTGTAACTGGTCAAGATCCAGCAGCCAGGCGGGTGCTAGGTGGGGATGTCGTGGGCCTGCTGCTCCACCAGCATCTCCATGCTCTTCACGTCGCTGCACCAGAACTCCAGGCGGTCCTTCATGCCCTTGATCTGCTGCAAATGCCTATCCACCTCGTCTATACTGCTCTTCACCAGTCCAACAGACAGGGCCTTCATCACGAGCAGCTCCACCTGGTTCACTGTGATTTTAGCACTCTGGGCATTTCTTCAAAAGTAAGCTGTCTGTGATTGGCAGGTCGTGTGAAAGTCATCTCCGTAAGGCACAGCAGCTGGATCTTCCTGAGGAGCTGGGCCTTGTTGGCCGCCAGGTCGGGCTGCTGGTCCCACGCAGCCCTCAGCGTCTGGGATCGCTCCACGTTGCCACTGTTGAAGGCATAGACGGTGTCAATCAGCCACTGGCGGTTTGTGTTCCTCAGCGACTCCAGCACGGGGTGCACGAGGAGCTCATCAAAGTTAAAAACTCCTTCGCCGAGGAGTCCGGCAAGTCCCAGCGTGAAGGCTTGCTCCTGCTGCTCGGATACTGGGAGCTCCTTGACGTCCACACAGCCCAGGAAGCGCATTGCGTCTTTGTAGCAGGACCTCACGCCTGGGAGGTTACTCAGCATTTCTTTTTTTTTTTTTGGAATTAATTGACATAGTATTGGGTAAACAATATGTTAAAAATAATGCAAGTTCCATTCTTCGAAACATCTGGGTTGAGACAGTATCAATGACAGGTTCAAAAAATAACCAACAACCAAACAAAAATTACAAGTTACATCAAGGCAAACATGTGGTATATAACCTTTTGGGATTCGCTCATTTCCCTTAGCATTATAGTTTCCAGTTGGGCCCATTTAGCCACAAAGAACTGCATTTTGTTTTTGTTTTTTTTTTTTTAATAGCTGAGTAGTATTCCATGGAGTAGATGAACCAAAGCTTTCTTATCCAATCTTCTGTTGATGGGCATTTCGGTTGCTTCCATGTTTTTGCAATTACTGATTGTGCTGCTATGAACATAGGGATGCATGTTGGTTTGTCGTAAAACAGGTGTGTTGGATATATTCCTAGGAGTGCTATTGCTGGGTCATATGGTATGCAGATTTTGAGTTGTTTGAGTGTTCTCCAGACTGATTTCCATAAAGGCTGTACCAATCAACATCCTCGATGGTTTCCTTTGTCACCTGTAGGTCCCCGATGTTTAACTTGAGGGCGCCAATGGCTGTTTTACACAGGATCACTGCTTCATCGCTACTTTTTAACCTTTTCACAAGTCTTCTCCAGGAAGGTAAGAGCCACATTAGGGTCAGTCATCTGCCTAACCACGTGAAGAATGATCTCCACCAGGGACAGAGGGTTCACCCTGTGTTCAAACTCACTGATGAAGTTTTCATAAAGCTTAATGATGATGGCTCTGATGAGCTTCCGGCTCCTGGCTTTGACCTGGCTCAGCCTCACATTTGGAGAGTTAGCCAGCGATGAGAAGTTTTTTGTCTTTGCCTTTCAACTAAAACATTTTAAGTAAACTTAAATTTTGAAACCATTTTTAAAGGAACTCCTCTGTCTTCTGTGTAATGGATGTGAACTCTACACAGAATTATAGTAGGCTCCTCTATTTTGCATTGCAATGGTGTAAGAAAAAAACCAAACTCAACTTTGAAGTTCTTTTGTAGTTTCTCTTCTGACCCTGAGTTTAGTAGCCTGAATTTATTTATTTCCAGGAATTTTTCTTTATACAATATAGATTCATCCCCACAGCCTTAAGATTGTTACACTTGCTCCAATTTCCTTTTTTTTTTTTTGGTTAGTATTTGCCACTTTTGTCTTCCTAGGATATACACAACTACTTAAATAAATATTCCCTTCATAATTCAGGTACCTTTACATATTGTTTCTAAAATGTGGATAAACTGTTCACACAACTCCTGATTGTAAAGTCTGAGTGTTATTGTTATCGTCTCCTCCCTCGCCCCAGTGTTTCTGGTGCTTTTAGATCTTTACATCAAAAAACAACAACAAAAACTCCTTCGAAATTCACCAGTTACTTATGGGGGTGGCGAAGGGGAGAGAGAGAGAGAGAGATCTGCCAGTTAGTTTCCCATTTGGCAGCAGTGGTTGGGGGCTGTGTCAGACAGCAGTCAGAGGGCAGGGGACCAAGCACTCAGACCATCATGTGGTGTTTTCTAGGCTCATTATTGGAGCTGGATTGGAAATGGAGCAGCTGGGACTTGAACTGGCACCTATATGGTCTGCTGGCATTGCAGGTGACAGCTTTTTTTTTAAAGATTTATTTATTTTTATTACAAAGTCAGTTATACAGAGAGGAGGAGAGACAGAGAGGAAGATCTTCCGTCCAATGTTTCACTCCCCAAGTGAGCGCAACAGTCGATGCTATGCCAATCCAAAGCCAGGATCCAGGAACTTCCTCCAGGTATCCCAAACAGGTGCTGAGTCCCAAGGCTTTGGGCCATCCTCCACTGCTTTCCCAGGCCGCAGGCAGGGAGCTGGAAGGGAAGTGGAGCTGCCGGGATTAGAACCAGCGCCCATATGGGATCGTGGTGCATTCAAGGCGAGGACTTTAGCCACCAGGCCACGCTGCCGGGCCCTGCAGGTGACAGTTTAACTAGCTGTCAGAATGACAGCCTCCAACAAATGTTTTCTACTACACACATTTGTAATTTTATTTTTATAAAATTTACTTATTTGAAAAACAGAGTGAGAGAGTGAGAGAGGGGGCAGGGGAGAGAGATATCTTCCATTTGCAGGTTCACTTCCCAAATGGATACACAACAGTAGATCTTGACCAAACGGAAGTCAGGAATCAGAAACTCCATATTGGTCTCCCGCTTGGGTGTCAGGGGCTCAAACACATAGGCTGTGTCCCCATGTCTTCCCAGGTACATTACCAGGAAGCTGGATCACAAGCAGAGGTGAGACTCAATCGCAGGGACTGCAATGTGGGAAAAGTTAGCCCAATAGCAGCTTTATCTGCTGTGTCACAACACCTACCCCCACCCCAGAATCTTTCACACTGGGCAGTAAGCCTGTGTAACTTTGGATTAGTAAATATGCACTATCTTCCCAGGCAATAGGAAAAGATTTGTTTATTTGAACAACAGAGAGAGAATGATGGAGATATTCCATCTATTAGTTTCAGGACTGGGCCAGGTTGAAGCCAGGAGCCTGGAACTCCATCCTGGTCTCATGTGAGGGTGGCAGGGATCCAAACACTGAAGCCATCTTCTGTTGCTGTCCCAATGTATTAGCAGGAAGCAGAATAGCCAGGAATCAAACTTGTGTTCCAATATGGGCCACTACGCCACAATGCTAGCCCTGGATTATATATTTTAATTGGATGAATTGCATGATAAGGAAAACCAACCCAGAGTACCTATTAATAATAAGCCAGTTATCTTTTTTGTAAAACTTTCCAAAGTCACTACACTGCATTTTGGAGAGACCACGGCTCTCAGCTTAGGGCTACAAGCTCTCTTGGTGGTGCTTCTTTAAGTACTGAAAGATCTTTCACAGCCACCCCAGAAATACAAGTGCCTGAATGATGACTATAATGAGGACATCCAGAGGTGTTGTCAGGTGCTTTCCCTGGGAAGTATAGAAACTGGAACCCTTTCTGGCTAGTTCCAATACTTCCCAGTAAATATTCTCTTAAGGGAACATTGATTGAATAGTGGTTGGAGCTGGTGGAGGATATTAGACTCAACAGTCAAGGTTAAGGCTCTTCAAATTATTTGAGAGAGCTTTTCAACAATTCATTTTGTTTTATTTTTAATATTGTTTACATATTTGAAATGGATACATGCCCATGTGGGCCTCCAATTAGAGCAAGGAGGGCCAAAGTATGGAGGAAGGTGGGTAGGACAAATGTTTCAATTTTTTCCTTTTTTGTCTCCTTTGTCCACAGAAGGCGAAGGGGAGAGGCTGCTCCTTGCTTTCAGAATACATCAGCACCCAGAGGTGAGGGGCAATCATTTGATGATGCCTTAGAGAATGCATTCCCAGTGTGGGGAAGAATATACCAAGGGTGTTAATTTGAATTGTTTTGATAGTTCTGAGACATTGTTGGCTACACTGCCCCAGGGTTGAGAAAATCTTTCCAAACTCATCGGCTGACCAAGACTACCTCAGTGTGCATCCACAGACCCAGGAACATGCTGCAAAGCTTGGTCAGGAGACTTGTCCACCCTTTTCTGCTTTCCATCCTCTCTAATGAGGCACTTGACATCCTCTGTTGGCCTAGATGAGCTGGTTGTTATGTCCCCCATGTGCTTCTGGACAGGCTGTCACTGCACAGGCATCAGCAATTGAGGAGGCCCAGTTTCAATACATGCATTTTAAGGTCAAACCTTGTAGTGGACAAGCTTCCAGTCCAGTGACCTAGTTGGGGAGTCCCCCAGAAAATCTCCCATGGGGTGACCTCAGACTTGATTCAGGTCAGGTTTGGTCTGTCAACCATACAAGCCAACGAACGAAGTTACTGGTGGATGCAGCTGCCTGGTCAGATTTGCCTCTAGCCCCATAGCTCACATGAACTGACAGATGCTGTTGAGGCCTGCCATAGCCCTAGTCTTGATGCACACCAGCTGGTGTGATGGCCTAGTCAAGGCAACCCCCAACAACCTCAAAAGGCCCCAGTCCCAGTTTTGTAGCCTAAGCTGACCATTCCCATATCCCTTCTAACTCATACACATCCATGGGTGCTGCAGCTTAGCTCAGCCCAACCTGTTCCCAGACCTGGCCTACATATATGCTGGCATTTGGTGCTGCCTAGTCCATCATGATCCATCCCCAACCCTGGCTCTCATAGTTGCCAATGTGAGCTTCAGCCTTGCAGTAGAGTGCTCACAGTTCCTCTAGCAACCCCATTTCCAGCCAAGGATCTTGCACTTGCCAGGTGTTATTGTGGTCCACTCTGACATGACTTACACTCAGTCTCAGCACTTGTCAGCTGGTTCTGCAGCCTAATTCAGCCAGCCTACACCCATTCTAGCTCTTGTGTATGTCAGCAGGTATGGCAACCTAACCCAGCCTGGTCCATCCCCAGACTGAGCCCATGTGCCAACGATGAGTGGTACAGCCCTGCCTGCATTGGCCTGCCCCCAATTCCAGCTCTCATGCTCACCAGTGGAAGCAACAGCCCAACAAGGGAGTCCTCAAGGTTCCCTGACCAGGTAAGCTCTCAGCCCTGATTCTTGCACATGCCAAGCAGGTACTATGGTCCAGTCTGAGACAGCCTGCCCTCAGGCTTGGCATTTGCCAACAAATGTTGCAGCCTGGCTCAGCCTGACTTACCCTCAATCCCAGCTCTTGCTGGTGGGTATATCAGCTTAGGGTACCCTTGTCCACCCCCAGCCCTCATCAGAACTGGCAGGTATTATAGTCCAAGTCCAACCTGACCTACTCCCCATCCTGGCTCTTGCTCATGCCAGCATGTTCTGAGGACTGGTCCAGCCTGACCCAGCCCCAGACCCAGCCCACATGTATGCCAATAGTGCTGCAGTTAAGCATGGTTTGCCCCGCGTCATGGCTCTCAGGATCACCAAATTCCTTTACCAGGCCCACTCCCAGATCCAGATATTGTGTGTACTGGTGGATGCTGTGGCCTAGCCTAACTGGCCAGCACTCTTTCTGGCTCTCGCCAGTTGGTGCTACAGTCTAGTCGAGCCTGGTTCCATTCTGTTTTCTGTGCTGGCTGTAGTCATTCATGTTGAGTTTACCTTAGTAGAGAATAATACCTTACAGGAGAGTGTCAGTTAGTACAACAGCATCCTGCTGGCTTGTCAGCTTCAGTTTTGAAAATACAATCCACACATCGATATTATTAGGTCTAGATTCTCAGTGGAGAATTTAGCAGTTTCAGCAAGGAAAGATCTGTGGAGGTATAATAATTATGAGGTTCCCTTTCTTCTGCTAAGCCAGAATACAGTGTTGCCATGAGTCAGAGAGAGTAACAGAAACTCTTCAAAACTCAAGTGGCTGAGTAAAGGTGGGGTGCGTTTGCAATCTGTAGTAATGTCTGGATTGCATGAAGAAACACAAGGACAAGTGGGACAAGCAGGGAGCTAAGGTTAGTGCAGCAGAAGCATTGGCAGGGTATTGGCAAGTGATTGTTCCAGCCTAAGTGGGATAAGCCTTTTCAATGAGGTTGACCATGAGGCTCCAGTGAGTCGCTAATTCTTGTCAGTTCCCGCAAGTAGAGTGACAGCTTCAACGGTTTGTCTACATCACTCTTGCTGCTGTTACATTGATACCTTCTGTACTTCCCAAATGTTGTTGGACAGAATCTTACAAGTTATCTGAAAAAAAAAAACCTTCTAATCCCTCATGTTTCTTCTCTGTTTGATTGCTTGAGTCATGATTCAGTTGAGTTTAAAAAAATATATTTATTGATTTATTTGAAAAACCGAGTAATAAAGAGAAAGGGAGAAGCAGAGAATGAAAGAGAAAGGTTCCTTCCATTTTCTGCTTCATTCCTCAAATGG